TAAATAATCAATAGGACTATTTAATAAAGGTATCTTTTGTTTATACAGTACTTAACAAGGTAGCAGAGAATGTATATCCTTCATTTACAATATTGTATCATGAATTTAAAAACTAACATAATTATTTTTTAAAGATAAAAGAATGAAAACATATTAACAAACAAACAGACAGGAACAAAACAACACCAAAACAGGTTAAAGCAATACAGAATTTCAGACAAGGAGATAAGAAATTAACAATGGTTGCTGTATTACATATTGTTATCTTCAAATTGGTTACTCAGTTAAACAAATATAGTCATGTAAGATTGATAAAACAATTAAACATTAACGGTTCCTTTCCCTAAAGCAACAGATATTAGTAGTACAATTATCTTAGCTATCTTGTGTGTGTATATATACACATATTTTTCCCTTCTTTCTTTCTAAGTCTATAGTATATGTTAGTTATTTATTGTCCTTTGAATTCATTTATCAATGTCAGGTTATAAATATAAAAATCAATGCATTGCTACTCTAACAAAGTAGTAGATTTTTATAGGCATGAATTAGTTTTTAAAGGGTAGTAAGTCTAATCCTTGTGATTTTTTTAGTTTGCTTATCTGTTTGTTCAACAAGTATTTATTTAGAATCTCATGTGTGTCAGAAGCTATAGTAAGCACAAGGAATACAAAGATGAAATAAATCTGTTCCTGCCATCAAATAATTTATAGTTTATTTGGGAGCAGAGGGAAAATATGAAGAAAATTGCAAAGTGTTGAAAGTGCAGCATTATTTGTGGAATGATGGGAAGAAAGAAAGGTAAAAGGAAATAACTGTAAGCTAGAAGGAAATAATGGTTTGTTTTAGGCAACTGTAAGCAACTTAATCTGATGGAGTTTTGTTTGTTTTTTAAAGAGCTGGTGCTTACGAAAGTAGGCAAGGATATAACAGAGAGACCTGTACTCCATCCTGCAGGTAATAGTGTGGGAGGAGCCACTGAAGCTTTTCTTGGTTAAGAATGACATCGTGTTTTGCCCTTTGTACTCTCAAATGTTCTTGGACAAAAGATTATACATCAAGCCAGGTGTGATGGTGCACTCCTGTAATCCTAGCATTCGGGCAGGCTGAGGCAGGAGGATCACTGAGAGTTCAAGGCCAGCCTGGGCTACAAAGTGAGTTCAAGGTCAGCCTGAACTACATAGCAAGACCCTGTCTCAAAAAAAAGAGTGTACAGCATAACTTACTATTTGAAATTCTAAAATGTATTTTCCATATATTTGACAATGTTAGGTACTCTAAAATCAGCTAACTATACTCAATTCCATTTAAAAAGACAATGAGTTCTTAACAAATTGCTATTTAATTGTAAAAATATATGTGCCTAGTATCAGACTGCCTAAATATGCTAACCAAATAAAAAATAGAATAATTATAAAATCCAGCAATCCCATTTCTAGATATACATCCAGGGGAAGTAAAATCAGTCTGTCAAAGCAATATCTGCATCCTATCATTCACTGCATCATTATTCGCAATAGCTAAGATTTAACATTGCCTAAACATCCAGCAGACAAATAGATAAAGAAATATGTGACATATTTGCACAGTAGCATACAATTCAACCTTTGAAAAGAAGGGAATGCTGTCATTTACAATAACATGGATAGACTTGTGGGACAGTATGTGAAGTGAAATAAGCCTGGAACAGAAAGACAAATCCATCTGATCTTACCTATAAGTGGAATCTAACAAAGTCAAACTCATAGAAATAGAGCGTAAAGCAGTGGTTATGAGGCTGTAGTGTGAAGGGAATGGCAAAAAGTTGGTCAAAGGATACAAATTTTCAGTTAGACATGAGTAGTGAATCCAGAATATGTATTATATATACCTCATGATGACTGTAGTTAATTGATTGTATACTTCAAGACTGCTAAGAGAGTAGATTTTGGGTTATCAGCATAAAGCTATGTGAGGTAGTGTGTTAAACGGCTTGACTTAGCCATTGTATGCCTCAAAAGTTTGTGTCGCACATTATAAATGCACACATATTTTCCTTGTCAATTACAAAGTAATTTAAAATGTGAAAGGTTTGCTGTCTATATCAATTTTTATAACTTTAAGTTACAGTGTTTTGGCTTGACTTCCCATACTATTATTACTTCTGTTTAAATCCTTATATTTTTTACTTATAGCTGATGAAAAAATAAGCCAGCTTAAGTTGATGGATACCGTGCAGCCTCTGAAAGGTGAGTTAGCAATAAGAAACTATAAAACTAAACTCTTAAGTTTTTGCAATATTTTAATAAAACCTACTGTTTATTCATGATTATAGACATGCATATGCATAATATGCAAAATTGGAGAATACACAGGACACATAAAAGGGCAAAGGAAAAATCACCTCCAATTTCAGACGAAAGGCAAAATAACCAATGTCCATATTTTGGTGTATATTTCCTAATCCTATTGTATATTTTGCATTGAAATTTTTGGCTTTGTTTTTCTTGGTGTCCATATTACTTAATAAATAATAAAATGCTAATGATTTTATTTATTGATAGATAATTTGTGTTCACTGATACTGAGTTTCTTCTATGGGTAGAAAATTTGTACTATTGTAATATTCAACAACTTCTATGATATCTTTTATGTCTCTTTCTAAATAATATAATTACTCTGGCTTTTATTATCTAGATATGTGCAGAAACATTGATGGCATAAATCTGCAATGATCAAGTTACTTAAGTGACTAAATATCTAAGTATAAATCTAAAAGAATGAAATGGGGTAGAAAGAAACAAATATTTTGCTCCTGGCATAGGTGGTAACCAGTAGCCAAAATAATTGAATTATTTTCTACTTAATGAAATTCAGTGATGAACAACTGCCAACTTCACATTTAAAAATATTGGTTTAAGCTGGTCATCAGGGGTATATTTCTGATCTTTGAACAATGATTAATGATATCCAGTTCTATCTCTGATTTTGCTTTTCATTTTGTGTGAATTTGAAACAAATTCATTGCACAGCCTTGATTTTTATTTTGAAACGGGGAAATACACACAGAAATAGAGAGTTCACTGTATATTGCACAAATATGTATTTTACTATCTTTCTTAAGGAGGGAAAATTGATACTAGAAAGAGCAATATTCCAGAGAAGATGGAAGTGGAGCCCACAGACAATGAATTGCAGATCCTACAAGACCATTTACCAGTAGACAGTAAGTATTTCTGGTGTTACTAAATTTTCAGAGAAAGTCAGACTTAAGTATAAGGATACACTAAAATACAGTTACTCTGCTATACTGAAACTTTGAAATGTTGTCAGAAAGGTTAAGTCTTAAGTATGTCAAAAACTTTTCTTCTCTATCTGAGTTGGCATCAGATGATCTGCTTATAGAAGTGGAGAAAGTCAAGAGCATTGTACGGCTGTCCACTTCCTCTTGCTATCGTTAGGAAAGAAGTCTCAGACACTCTGCTTGTATTAATTAATAGGGCCATAGGTTTTGAAAGTTAATTTGCATGCTTTTAAATACAAATTGAAATGCAAATTAATTTAAAAATTATTGTCTTCCTTTTAACACTTTGGTATCACTGGCAGGCATAAATAATATCTGCAAATGATTCCTCTGAGTCACTTAACTTAAAAAAAGAAAACAGACAAAGGAAAATAAAAGAGTAGATGCATAAGAACAGAAGGAAAGATGAGGCCTGAAAGACAGCAAGAAGTGTGGGAGAAGAAAAAGAGGTTAGGCAATTAGAGTTTCAACATCATCTGTATTAGAAATGAAGATAGGTTGAAGGGCTCATTAGTGTAATCTAGCTCTTATTCCATCATTGTAGTTTTTGATTATGAGTCAAATCTTCATTTTATTTTTAAGTATAATAGTAGACTTGATACATAAAGCATTCTATTGTCAAAGTTCTTTCTTTTTTTTTTAGCGAATGTAAAGTTAAATCTAGATACAATTCTGGATGAAACTAGTATTCTTGAAAACAAAGGTGAGTGAAAAATTCAGTAATTTGGTTATTTGTATTTTTACAAAATACTATTCACTGCACTCTTTAAGTAGGAGTTAACTTATCTGGGTATTTTTAAGTAATATGCTTGGAAGTTGTCACTTGATAATAAACAATGTACATTAGATTATTACCAATGAATTTGGTCAGTAGAAGCTAAAGCCAGAATTCAGCAAAGATAACCAAACTGGGCTAACTAATCAAAGTCAATTATTTATATTTCATGGCCCCAAGGAGAATTTCCTAAAAGAAAATCTAAGTGAATAATTTTGTGATCTTGGGGTAAAGATTTCTTAGGCAGATGACAAAGTGTTCTCAGCATGTAAGTAAAAATAATTGATTAGACTACTTCAAAATTAATTTCTCTTTCTAAAAGACACTAGAAGATGAAAAGACCAGTATTCTGAATACTAAGAACTATTACTATTTAATAATAACACAAACTAATAAAAATGGGCAAAAGATTGGAACAGACACTTAGCGAAATATATGTGAATAACCAGTTACCACACAGAAGGATGCTAAATGTTATTAGTCACCAGAGAAACATAATTTAAAACATAGGTAGATACCACATTACATATCTACTAAAATAGCTAAAAACAAAAAGGTTGGCAACGCAAAAGTTGGCAGTAATGTAGAGTAATTGGCACTCATACAGTTGCCAGAGGGTATTCTAATCATTGTGAGACTTGTATGACAATTCCTTAAAACTTGGAACATAAACATAAGACTCAGAAATCCCACACTTAAGCATTTTTCCAAGACAAATGAATATACATATTTTTTTCCCAAAAGTCATGAATGGATATTCATACATTTTATTTATAATAGCTAAAACTTGGTAGCAACCTTAATGTCTATCAATGTATAAATGAATAAACAAAATACAAGCTATTTAGACATCAGAATATTCCCAACAATATAAAATAAATATATGCACACCAAATAAATAAATATATGTGATAAATTTACTGGTGAGTGCAACATCCTGGATGAATCTCAAAATCATTCTGCAAAATGGGAGAATAGAGAACAAAATAGTAACTACTTTATGATACTATTTTTTAGAGCAAGCAAGTCTACAATCAGAAAGCATATCAATGACTGTTCAGGTTTATGTTTTAGCAGAATGGACTGCAAAAAGGCTTACTTTGACAGGGACAGAATGACTCCTGTGAGTCACTTAACTTAAAAAAAAAAACAGAGGAAAATAAGAGTAGATGAGCAAGAATAGAAGGAAAGTAAGCCTGGAAGACAGCAAGAAGTGCGGAAGAAGAAAAGAGGTTAGATGTGTTGGTTAGTTTTCTCTTGTTGCTGGGACAAAATACCCAACACCCAAAATTAAAGAGGGAAAGGTTTATTTAACTCACAGTTTGTGGACATTTTAATCCATAATTCAGCTGGCGGCAAAGCAGGGTGGCATGGCAGAGGGGCAACAGTCATGGTGGCAGAAGACAGCAAAAGCAACAGGAGCAAAAAGCAGGGAGCAAGACTCGTTTCCTCCCTTGTATTGTCAGCAGGCTACCCACCCTGGGGCATGTGTAGCACTCACATCGTCTCCCTGCACTCCTCTTGCCCAGGCTTAGGTGTTTACAGAGGGAGGATGCTGCCCCCCTGCTGAGTTACTTAGTTAAACTCTAAACTTCTCAAATTGACACAATGTATCAACCGTTACAACATTTAGAGTGTATACAGCCTCCCTAGGGCATGTTTTCTACACCCTAGATGTAGGACTGCTGAGTCACTTAGTTAAGCTTCCAAACTTCTCAAGTTGACACAGTGAATCAACCATAACATTAGGCAATTAGATAGGTTGAAAGGCTCAAAAAAGGATAGGTTTTATATCATAATTCTACAGATATTTACATGGTTGTATACACTTACTAAATTTAGACTGAGTTCTTAAGGTTGTGATTAATTGTATGTAAATTATAGTTCAACAAAGTTGATTTACAAAGAAATGTAAGTAAAAATTATGCAAAATTCCAGTTTAAATTTTATTCTATCTAAATTCTTTTTAAATACTTTTATTAGTAAATATTTGCATTATATAATGAGTATATTCCTTGTGGGGTACTGGTACATGTACATAACACATTGAAATTCTTTTTTTGTGCTCTTTACTTTCCCTCCCTCCTTATAAAAGAAATCATTTAATATTAAAACTTATGTGCCTGATTAATATCATGACATTATGGCTTCAATGTGCATTATTTTCCTACAAATGACTCAAGACTATGCTTGTTTATGGCATAGTAGTACTCCTTTATGTATACATACATTTTCTTTATCCATTCATCTGTTGATGGACATATAGGCCACCTCCAATATTTAGCTAATATGAATTGTGTTGCTATAAACATGAGTACACATGACATCTTTTGGGAAGATATCTAGAAAGCAAATAGCAGGGTTGAATGAAATACCTAGTTTTAGTTTTTTGAGGAATCTCCATACTAATTTCCATAGTGGTTATATTAGTTTATATTTCCACCAATAATGCAGAAGCGTTCTTATTTCCCAACAGTCTTGCCAGCATTCATTATTATTGGATTTCTTGATGATAGTCATTCTTTCTGGAATAAGATGGAATGTTTTAATTTACATTTCTCTAGTGACCAGAGATGTTGAACATTTTAAAAGTGTATTTGTTGGCCATTTGTACTTTTTCTTCTGAGAAGTGTCCATTGATTTCAGTTACTCATTTTTTGATTGGGTCTTTCATTTGGGGGGTCTAGTTTTTTTGAATTCTTTATATATTCTAGTAGTCCTCTGTCTGAGGAATAGATGACAAAATTGTTTCCCATTCTTTAGTTTGTCTCTTCACTCTGTTGTTTCCTTTGCTGTATAGATGCTTTTTAATTGGATATGATCTTATTTGTTGATTCTTGTTATTTCTCATACAACTGAGATTCTGTTTAGACAGTCTTTGCCTATGCCTATGTCTTCAAAATTTTTACCTGTGTTATCTTCCAGAAGATTGTTTCTATCTTAAGGTTTAGATCTTTGATCCATTTTGATTTTAGTTTAGTGCATGGGGAGAGATATATGTCTAGAGTCAACGTTCTATATGTGAATAGCCAGTTTTCCTAACACTGTTTATTAAAGGGGCTACCTTGCCTCCAGTATATGTTTTTGGCCCCTTTGTCAAAGACAAGATCAGTGAATATGCCTGTGATTTCTTCTATATTCTCTATTCTGTTCCATTGATCCACCTGTCTGTTTTGGATCCAGTACCATGATTTCATCACTATAGCTTTGTAATATAACTTTAAATCCAGAATTATGATGTGTCCTGCTTTGCTTTTATTACTCAGGACTGCTTTTGCTTTTCTGTTTATTTTATGAAGGTCACTACATATTGGTTAAAAGAATAATTCAAGAAGAAGTGACAGCTATAAATATATGCACACCAAACAATCATGTCCCAGCTTCATAAAACAAACACTACTGGAATAAATGATCAGATAAACATCGCTATCATCATCTCATTATCACAAATAGATCAAATAGATGTATCAAATAGATCAAATATCATCACCTCACTATCACAAATAGATCAAATACACAAAAAAAGAAATATCAGTGTTAAACAAGATCAACAAATGGATTTAACAGATATCTACAGAGTGTTCCACCAAATGACAGAATACACATTCTTCTAGGCAGTACATGGCATTTTCTCTGGGTCTGTACTGGTTCCACATGAATTTTAGAATAGTTTTCTCTAGTTCTGTGAGGAATGCTCTCTTTTTTTGAGAATTGAGATTTCTTTAAACCTGTGTGTTAGTTTTGGAAGTATGGCTATCCAGGAACGGGACTATTTTCCATTTTCTGCTATGCCCTTCAATCTTTTTCAGAGTACTGTGAGTTTCATTTCCTTGATTAGATTAATTATTCAATATTTAATTTTTCTTGATGCTAATGTGAATTGTACAATATTGTTTCCCTAATTTCTTTCTTAGTAACTTCATTATTGGTGTACAAAATGCTATTGATGTTTGTGTGTTAATTTTGTATCCTGCTACACTGGTGAATTTTGTAATTAATTCTAAGAGACTTTTGGTGGAATGTTTTGAAGTCTTCCACATAGGTGATCATGCTATTTTTAAATAATAATAATGACTAATGAGTATACATATATATGTTTTATTTGTGTGTGTGCATATATACACATATATATGTATGTATATATGTATATATGTATGTATATATATACATATATGTGTGTGTATATATATACATATATATATGTTTTTTTAAAATTGTTTTCTCTTGCCTCATTGCTGTGGCTAATATTTCAAATACTAAGTAAAACAGAAATGGTAATAGTAGATATTCTTGTATTGTTCTTGTCAATTTTGGCTTAGAGTCTACTTTGTCTGAAAATAGGATAGTTACTCCTGCATGAAGTATTGTTTTTCATCTTTTGATTTTCAAACTGTGAATTTCTTTTTGGGTTAAATATATTTTATGTACACAGTGTAATGTCAGATCTTGTTTCACAATCCATTCTGTCACCTGTGTCTTTTGATGGAGAATTCAGACCAATCACATTGAGAATTATTACTGAAAGGTAGTGACTTACTCCTGTCAACGCATTATTTTCCTGTTACTGATTCCCTTTCTTTCTCATCTACTTAATTGCTCATCCTACTGGTGTATTCATTGGACCTTTTGACATGTCTAACAGCTTTTCTGTTTCTAGGATATGCTTGAGAATTTTTTGGAGTGCTAGTTTGGTGGTCATGAATTTCTTTATCATGGAAATATCTCATTTCTTTGTCAACTTTGAAACACAATTTTGCAGGATATATCAGTCTGCGTTGGATATTGTTTTATTTTAGGACTTTAAACACTTCACTCAAAGTTTTTCTGACCTTTAAAGTTTGTATTAAGAAGTCTGCTGTAATTCTAGTGAGTTTTCTTTTATAAGGAATTCATTGCTTTTCTCTAACAACTTTAAGATTCTGTTCTTGCATTAGACTTCTGGGTATCAAGAAAAGTTTCTTCTGTGATCATGGCTACTTGGGGTTCTATATGCATCATTTATCTGCATGTTAAATTCTTTCCCCATATTTGGTGGAAAGTTTTCTGCAAATATGATTTTTTAAGTCTTTGGGCTGTCTTTTGATTTTTTATTAATTCTAGTTAATCTTAGATGAGTCTACTTTGGACCATCTAGCTGCATTTGGATCCATTTTTCATGTCCTGTTGTTGTGAAGGTGTATCTGCATATATGGTCACTTTTAACAGCTCTTTATTCTAGTTTTAATACACTCTTCCTCACTTTGGTTGTTTCTGCTGCCCATGCTATCAGTAGCATTTTTAATCTCTTGAATTTCTGTTTGGTACCTCTTCCTGGAGTCTAATTATTTTCCATACTGGACATTCAAGTTTTATACAGTTTGTTTAGCTCTACTGGCATTTTATTAATGTCATCTATTGACTCACTGATCTTTTTTTAAAAATTAAGTCCATTATCTGTTTAGGTATATCATCTTTGAACTTGCTAAGCACCTCATTGATCTGTCTTTTTAAAAAATCTCCTCCATTATCTTTTGAATAATTTGGCTGTGTGGTTTTTAATTTCCTCCCCTTTGATTCCCCATGGATCCATTTTGGTGGAGCTGTAGTTTTTATATATGTACTGCTGAAGCAAGCACAGGAGTTGTAGTTTTTGGAGGCATTTTGTTACCGTGTCTTCTCAAGTTCCTGTTTTTTGTTTGGTTGGTTGGGTTTTTGGTACTGAGGTTTGTAGATTTGTGATAGTGGATGACTTCGTCGTTAGTATGGAGACTTTTTCAGTTAGCATGTGCTTTTCAGTCAGTGATGCACTTCGGTTGTGGCTAACTACAGTCCTTTCCTTCTGTCCCTGAATCCCCCCACCTCTGTTTATTTGGAAGTAGAGGGTATAGTGAAATTTTCTCAGTACCCAGTTATCTGGAACTAGGCTACAGTATTATTAATGACACCAAGGCAATCCAGACATTGGCATGTGGAGAAAACTGATAGCAACACCTACATCACCTGGGCTACAGCAATAAAATCAACAATAATAATATCAAAGACAAAATGTATATTGACATGCCCTAAAAAACAATAATGTACCCACCCTTAACCACAAAAAAGAGTTCTATAATTATAGTACAAGTGCTAAAACACACCAAATATTGATGTACAGTAAATATCTACAAATGGAACAACTTCACTTCTACTAACAATAGATCAATATTCAAAAGTATAGCATAGAGTTAACTATCTAAAAGTTCATAAAGTTTCATGGTTATACTGGCAAAGACAGAGATAGTGGGTATCCAGTGAATATCACAAGTAAAATTTGAAATGTTAATCAACTGCAGATGAGGGGGAGTAAAAATAAGATCTGAGACTCTATTGAGGAATAAAAGAGTTAATAGTATTAGATAGAAGTGACAGAAAAAAATGAACTTGAAAAAGAAAAAAGAAAGTAAAATAAAATAAGAAGGAAAAAATTTAAATGGATAGTAGAAAAAAGAAAAAAACCAAACCCCCTGAAATTTTTTTTAAATTTTATTTTAAAGAGAGTAGTACATGAGAAACAAACAAACAAACAAAAAATAGAACAGTAGCAGCGTACCAGTATCACGAACATAAACAAATCAGAGCAAAAACATTCAAAGTGATACAGGGTCTCAAGACAAATTAGTACAAATCAGTAGTGGTGGTTACACTGCATATTGCTATCCTCAACTACATTGCTCAGATTATTGGATGTAAGAATGAAAGATTGCTCAAACCATTAAAGAGAATAAGAAAATAATTCTTCAATAAAACGTTAGAGATAATACCAGAGTTTCACTAGACAAGATAAACCCCCAGAAATTAATGAAAGAAAAAATTCATGAAATTAAAAAATTCCTTTGTGTTTTTGAATGAATGATTTCTTTTTAGGATCTGCCATCTTTTGAATCCAGAAGGTCATGATTTTCTCTGTCTATATTTATGGTCCGTGGGTTCGTGGGGTGCCCTCTATGCTCCAGGGCCCTTCCGTCCCTATACTCCAGACTGTGGCAGTCATTCAAGCTGAAGCATGTCCTATTCACACTGATAGGTGGAAAAAGCAATTAGCCCTCTTGTCTCTGCTGGGTGTTGGCCATAGGTTAAGGTTTTGATCACACTCTTATACCTATAGCCAACACTGTCAGAACCAGGCTCATCTGAAAGCCACACTCTCAAAGCATGTGCTCCACCTACTAGGGGGCTCAGGACCATTACCCTTACTTTAGCCGTGAACTGTACTTGCAGAGCACCACCCGTACTCAGGCCAACCAGCAAGAGCATTCCCACACCCCCCCCCCGAGGTTCATAAACTCGGGCATTTCAAGAAAGCACTGTACTTAAAATTATTGGGTAATTATAAAGGATACTAAAAAAGGATACTACGTAGAGTTGGAAGAGATAAACAAGGTAGAAAGCTGTATAGGTAGATGGGGACAGAGCCTTGATGGTATCTTCAGGTGCCAATCTTCCAGCACGTTAGTGTGTTTACAAGCCTAAGAGTTCACCAAACCTCATTGTTTCAATTTTTATCTAGAGTTTCATCTTGTAGGGATGACTACAAGGATGATGTAGGGATGGCATCACGGGTCCTGTGATGGAGCTCAGTTTCTAGGCCTTCTCCTTCCTCTAGAAGTCAGAGGGAGCTAGTTACATGGTTAGTTCTGCTGATAATCATCTTCCCTCCATAAAGAGAATGGAGTGGGGAAGGGATCCATAAATTAAAAGGGCCCAAGAACTACAATATTGCAATGCTGGGAATGGACTGTAGAAGGATTATTATTTCACTAAATTATATAAAATTGAGATAATCAATTAAATGTTAATATAAGAGAATATTTGACAGTATGAGGGATAATTGTTAAAAATTTAGCATGGTAATGGTTTAGGAATAACATTTATAAGGTATTTTATATTTTTGTAATAAACTTTGAAATATTTACAAATGATGTGATATGATGTTTGAATTTGCTTGTAAATAATTGGGGTAGAGTAGCAGGAGCAGGTGGGAATATAGAAATATCAGGATGGACATGAATCACTAATAATTGTATTATTAAATTAAATGAAAAGGGAAAGAGGATTTTAAAAAAGAACTGAGAGCTCTTATGTGCACACAGCAACTCCTCACAAGTGTAACCAGAATGTAATACAAACGTACTAATAAAAAAAAACTGAAAAAAATAAAATAAATTCACATTACTTCTGAGGAAAATGAAAGAAAATGTGCTCTAATTCTTCCTTTCATTTCATTTGGGAAAGCCATTATGGAAAATTTTAAAATAAATTTTAGATTTCTGTCTTTATAACATGTTAAAATCTTTCAGTGTTTAATTATATAGTCACATTTTATTATGGCTGGAGGAAAAACTTACAGGAAACTAATAGATATAAGTGGTTCTTAAAAGAGAAAAGGGCAGGAAACTGTAGTACTTTTGCTTTGATTCTTATACTAATTTCTTAGTCATTTATTTGATTGTAAGTCAGGCTACCATATATTGTTTTTACTATATAAGGTTTTTCAGTTAATATCTACTAGTCAACTAGTATATTGGAAAGATGTCCCAACTTTAGAAATAAGGGAAAAACAAACAACCTCTGGGCCCATGCAGCAAAACTGTGAAGTGGAGAACTCAGAGTTTTATCAGCAATGGAGACTACTTTCTAGATAATGTAGACAACAAAGATAAATCTTACTTTCAGGGGTATAATTAATTATAAGTGTAGGAATACTATTTCCTCAGAAATAATGTAAATTTATTTTATTTTTTTCAGTTTTTTTTATTAGTATGTTTGTATTACATAATGGTTACACTTGTTGTGAGGAGTTGCTACGTGTATATAAGAGATCCCAGTTCTTTTTTAAAATCCTCTTTCCCTTTTCATTGAATCATACAATGTTCATGAAACTCACTTTTCCTTAGTAGGTGAAGGGATTACTAAATCAAAAATGAGATAATTTTAGAAAGCTATGAATACTATTAAAGAAAATGGAAGTAATATGACCAAGAGTGGAGGAATGTCAGAGTTACTTTAGATAGGATCGTTCAGGAATGCCTGATAGAGGAAAGTGATACTGATCTGAGGTTTGGGTTCAGTTGCCTTTCAGAACTTTTGCCTAGTAGGCTTTTCTTCAACATAAATCTAATGAAATAAATTTTACGTCTAACTCTGACATTTGACCTTGTTGTCACTTGGATAAATTTTGAACATAGTAGTCATAGTACAACTGTTTTGTGGTGTGGAGTCGTAGTATCCTTTTCACAGTTCATTTCTTTTCTAAGAGGGGAAAATTGACGTTGATAACCTTGACATCATTATGGAGAAAATGGGAATGAATTATTCTGAGAAGGAATCTGAAGGACTGTCACACCAGCAGCCAGGTAATCATGAGCATTGTAGATATCACTCCCTCACTTCCTTGGGAGCCCTTGGAATAGTAGGTTCGTGATTTCATGTTCCTAACACTTTAATGTTTAGTCTCCCAAAGACAGCTGATACATATCTTAAGGGAACCTAGTCCAGAAGTAAGCAATTTCCTTTTGTTGAACTGAACATCACTTTCGTGATATTTTAGCATAGTCCATGTTTCTTGAATCAAGTTCAAAGAAACAAAGCCTATGCAAAACTCTGGACAAGAGCGTCACAATGATGTTTGTTCTTAAAGATCCATTAGATTAAACTGCAAATGGAAATATATAGACAAAATTATGAGTGAAAAACGACTGGAGGGGGGCTGGGGATTTAGCTCAGCGGCAAAAGCGCCTGCCTGGCAAGTGCAAGGTCGTGAGTTCAGTTCCTGGTACCGGAGAAAAACAAAAACAAAAACAAAAACAAAAAAAAAAAAACGACTGGAGGTTAGAAATATCAGATTAGTGAACATGCTCACTGGGGACTAACTGTGGTCATGGTCAGTTTTTAAAACAGTGATGCAAGGGATTGTGCTGCTTTAGATCCAGTACCAGCAGCCTGATTGATTTCATGAAATAGAGCAAGTCCTGCTTTGAGAATCTGACAGATAAGTTTTCCAATCACATACTAGCCTTGTGATTTCAGTCAAGGATTTAACTTTTCTGAGTTTTAATTTCTTTATGTGTTAAAAAAGTTGTAACCACAGAAGTTTGAGAAATGGTATATGAAACCACAAATCTAATACATGGCTTGGTAGACATTTATTAAATTTAATTTCCTTCCTTAAATACCAGAGAGATTAGAGTGGTCAAGAGACCAAATCTTTGAGAATGCTTTTTAAATTTTTGCTCTAATGCTACAAGTAGAGTTTAACACTTAACAATACTTTAATGAAAAGAGTGTATGCACTGTTTTTTTAAGAAAGCTTATTTTTCATGTGGTGTGAGGAGGAACTCTAGAAGTATTATTATAGTGAAAATCATGGAAAATTATTAATTTCTTGTGCTCTGTCTCACAATGTAATTTCATATTATGTCTGTGAATCTCATTGTTGTGTCTGTGAATCTCATTGTGGTCTCTGTGATTTCTATTTTGCTTTACAGATGATGGGAAAGTTCAACTTAATGAACTATTGAATGAAGCTAAGATTTTTATGGGTAAGAAGTTGATATACAACTGAGATATTAAGTTTTTAAAAATGTGTTTTTGCAACAGTGTATTGAATATGTAACCATTGCCTTATAGAACACCTGCCACTTTATTTTTAATTGTTGCTTTGACTTGAATTTCAGCATTTTCAAAATAAAATATACTGCTATTTTTCAAAATAAAATATACTGCTATTTTTCAACAGAGGATCTCTAATTTCCAGATATTTTGCCGGTACTATTCTTCACCTCCTACATTTTAAAAATTTGAAACCTAAGCCAGCATAATAGAAATAATAACGATTACTTTTTCATGGACATTTTTATATACCTAGTGTTGTGTTAACTGATTTTCATACATTAATTTATTAATTGATATGGTATCTATGTTGTCAGTGCTATTATAATCATTATTTTATATATGAGGGACTAGAGGCTTATATGATAAATATTAGAATAAAATGTGTGCATTTTTTTCCAGATTTAATGTGGTTTCACCTTTGATACACAAGAATATTTGCTCTTTAAATATATCTCAATTTTTTCCCATTCCTTTTCACTTTTTATCTTCCAACCATATATTTTCAAATAGCCTCTCTTTAGCACCTCTGATTTTTCTATATAATCTATCCTGCTACCAATACTTTCAGTCATGTTTATTAGGTTAATATTACCCTTCAGTTACTGCAGGTCATCAGGTCCACAATCTCCTGAACAAGTATAGAGTGAAGGCTAAATAACAAGAGGCAAGTGGAATGATTTCAGGGCTCCAGGAGGATCAAAACCCTCTCACAGAATTCCAGATTCTGTCAGGGCTAAGACCAAAATCTTCTCTGAGTAGCCTGTATTTATTTGATTATCAGAAGAAGGGAGGGGAGTACTTAAGAAGGGTGGAATCATGCAAGGACTTCTCCAAGTAAGGTATTAAGTTAATCCGCACAGGAATGAGATGCCTGAGGCTATAGTCTTTATCTAGTTGAGGTTGAATCCAGGTGTGTGCTTGGCTATGATCTTGTTTTATCCTTTGAGGCTTTCAGGCTTCATCACTATTACTTTCAGTAGGGATTAGTGACTCACAGAGGTTCACTTACTATGAGTCTGCCATTTCCAGACAAGGAGCCTAGGCTTTGGACAGATTCACAAGTGAACATGAAAAGCCAATTGGTTAGCTTAAGTCCTGCTCAGGTCTGCTTCACAGTGGTCTCCATTGCACATTTTTAAATTTCTGTAGTGTATTTTCTTATGCCAGGATTTCTGTCTCAGCTTTTAAACATTACATTAATCTTTCTGTTAAATTATTCTAAGAAAGTATTAAATTGTTTCTGAGTTTGTTGTTATTCATATAATTTCCTTATTTAAATTCTGTAACAGGTTTTTTTTTTTTCAAACAGGGTATCTGGCCTTGACAGATTATGTAGCCCAGGCTGGCCTTGTACTTGCAGTGATCCTCCTGCCTCAGCCTTCTCTGAGTGCTAGGATTATAGGCATGGGCCACTCTGCTGGGTTCTGTCTTTTTTAATTTTAAAGAGAGAAAAATAATAAATTCAATGGTACAGAATTTCAAAACAAGAAACAATATAGTGGGAAATTAACAATAGTTAAGTATGTTGCATATTGTTATCTTCAAGGTAGTTGCTCAGATTTCAAGATATAGGTATGCAAAATTGATCAAACAATATAAGCACAAACTGTTCTTTTCAATGAGCTAATAGAAATTAGTAGTATAATTACCTTACCTATCTTGTATATATATATACAAGAGGCTGTTTGAAATACATATATATATATATATGTTTTCTTTTCCCTTCCCTCCATCCCAGGTGTTCTTTCCTTTTGAGCAGTTTCTTTCCCTTTCCCAATTACTATTTGTTTAGTAATCTTGTTTACTCTTTGTCTCTAAGAGTTTTAATGCATCTTTTACTTTTTCCTGTTTCTGGTGTCTTATTTTACCCATTAGATGAGGTCATAGTTTCCTTAAAGCTCTTGATGCTTGGTATACGGCAAAATTTGCATTTTCAAAGTAGGTATTTATCCAATTCTTCATAATTTGGCTTTTTTTTGTGCCTCTCCTCCTAGAAATACTAAGCATACCTCTTATCTTTTTTGAGTCTGAGGTCACTGCTGCTATTTCAAGCACTAGATATCACCTTAACTTCATATTTGCTGTCAGTCTACAGTTGATGTGTTATAACTGTTTTAGCAGGCAAGCATGAATAAGCCCAAGTTTGTCCCAAACCTAGAGTATTCTTAGGATGGTGTATTCTTAGGATGGACTTCAGAAGTGCCTAAAACCAGGTAGCTCTCCCTGAGGCCAAGGTGGGCCCAAATGCCTTGCCAGAGTCACCAGCCTGAGATCAGTCTCTGAAAGATGCTTTCTGCTGTGTGGCTTCATCATTAGGATCCAACCCTAGGCACCAAAGCACCAGCCCATTTTTTTAGAACTCTAAGTAGATAACAACTTTCTGTGTTTTGCTACCTGGGATTAGGCAAGGATGGGCTAGGATATCCCATGAATATCAGTGTTTCAACACAACATTGTACCCACAGCCTGCTGAGACCAGAACAATACAGAGGCAGAGCAAACCGTTATGATTCGGTGTACTTACTCATGACCTGAAACTGTCACAGCCAGTCAGCATCTCAAATGATGCTGACCAAATGATGTTGGAATATGGTCCATTCCATTGAGGCTCTGGGTCCTGCCTGGCACAGGGGCCACTCCAGAGGCTTCACCCACAGGTATTGACCCGGGAACAGCGGTTGTTGAGAAATGCCCAGTGTTGGGTTTTACTGACCCAGCACTGAATTCTAGGCACCGTCTTGTGCTTTCTTCCCTGTCCCATCCCCCACAAGATGATTCTTTTTTAAGCTGTTCTACCTAACTTTTGGAGGAGGAGTGGTGAAGCATTCTCTTGCTTGCCGGGCTAGGTAAGGGAGGGCCAAGGCTATGTCTATGGACACTGCACTGGAGGCAGTGGCCTTGGGACTCTGATCTGTACTTGGCCCCATAAGGATTGGCCTTCCATTGAGTTCCAAATCTAAAGCCTATACTTAAGTTCCTCTTTCTCCCCAAAGCAGGAGGCACCTTTCTTCATGCTGTGCTACTTGGAGCTGCGGAAGGGCTGATATGGGCAATTCTTTCCTTCCTGTCTTCTTTATCTCATTTTCTTAGCTCTTGTGAAGGTAGCCTCGTAAGTGAATAGCTGATTAAATTAGTGTTTTTGTGGAGGGATGACTGATGGAGTGTTTTACTGTGATGTCTGGAGACTATTATTCTATCACAATCTTGCTCCACCCTCTGTTGAATAATTCCTAAACATTTTCCTGTTTTCCCTAAACTTTCAAAGAAAAATATGGATTCCAGTGACTTTCAAAGTATTGTAATTAAATTCATAGATAATTAAGTTGCTAAATTTCCCTTCAATTGCTGTTTGTTATAAGGCCATGTGTAATAAAACTTTTAATATATTAACATTAGCAAACCATTCATTCATGAGTTTTTCCATCAGGATTAAACAGGGCTGGGGATTTAGCTCAGCGGCACAGTGCCTGCCTGGCATGCGCAAGGTTGTGGGTTCGATTCCTGGTACTGGAAGAAAAACAAAAGAACAAAACAAAACAAAACACAAACCCAATTATGTCCCATCAGGATTAAACAATATACAGTGGTACACTTGAATTACTGGGAGGCCTGTGTTTAAATATAGAAAAGAAGGGAAATCACTCTGAGGGAGCAGAAAGAGTAAGTTGCGGCGTAGTCATAAACAACAAAGTTAAAGCAATAGATCTGTATGTGTAACATGATTAAATTTATCATGCTGCTAACTGATGCGCACAATAACTGAGGTATTTTATTAAAATTTTTTAAGTGACTTCATTTCTCTGTCAGTCTTCCATCTTCCTCGGTGGTTTGGGTGTTGGAAGGTAAGAGGGGCGGACTCAAATTGGCCCATGAAAAGTAACTCAGTTTTTTTCTGGTTTAAAAGAAAAACTATTATTTTGGTTGACTCAGTCATTTTAAGAAGGTTCCTCCCAAGCATTCCTCCCATTTTCCTTCAAATAGGCACCACAGTACAAGCAAAAGCTTGGGTGTCCTCCTGGTAGTAGAGAAAGGCTGTGAGACCCTGTGCAGTCTGGACTCTTAATAGCCTCTTTAGCAGCTTCTCATCATTTGAATCCCCAGAAGTCCTGATGACTTTCCTGTGGAAGTCCACTGCTTGAGAGACTTCTGGCCTGTTTTCTAAGCAAAGTCAGTCTTCTGTGGTCATTAATCTAGCACAGCACTAACACGCACTGATGACAAGGTCCTGTTAGTCTCAGTGGGGTAGGTATTCTGAGTCCCCGTGCTGGTGTATCTACCCCAAAGCCTCTGTTAGAGATCACCTTGCCCCTTTTCTTGGTGTTCTGCAGAATACCCAATGGCCTTTATTCTAAAATGACTTTTACATTCTTCTTTGGAATACATAGGAGTAATTGAATTTTTTCCATATCACACAAAAACCAAAGGAGACAAGGTGTAGCCTGTTTCCATCTCTCTCTCTCTCTCTCTCTCTCTTTTTCTTTTTTTTTCCTATATATACCATGCCACAACATTGATTCTCTGTAACAGTGGCATGGTGATGCTTGGGATGACGTGAGATGTTAACTTCACAGAAATTCAAATAGGAGGCATGATCCAAGTCCTTAATGCTTTGGTCATAATGCTAACCCCATCCCACATGCACACAAAGGCTGGTCAAAAAATACATATTGCTCTTATTTCCCTGCAAAATACTCCTTCTTACTTTAAGCCCTTTTATCATATCTTTACTGCCACTTTCTGAAGAATTGTGGAAGTCCCTTTTCATGAGTGAATTTCAGAGCTGTGATAAGATAGATATTTTGAAAATGGGAAAAGGACCAAGAGATGGAGGGATGGACAAGGAAAGGGGGAGAAAGGGAAGTAAAAAGAATAATTAAGATGTGTGCAATGAATGCAAACATGTAGCAATAAATTTTTTAAATTAAAAAAAGAGTTAATACATAAACAAAAATAAGTGATAAAAAGGTATGGTAAACGCTGCTTCTGAGTGCCATCCAATGGAAAGGTAGGCTTATAAACACATTAAAGTGTATCTTATCCACCTTATTCACTGGATCTGGTTCTACATGACCTCTAGCTCTTCCTCGAAGTAAAAATGACAATGAAAAATAAATGTCTTGAATCCATTCAGGAAGCTCAGGCAGCCATGATAGCATAACTAAAGATATGAAAGAGGACTTCCAGAACATCTTCAGAAATTGCTCTAAGGAAGGAACAACTGGGATAAGGGAAAGGAGAAAAAGAAAGAAAAAGAAAGAAAGAAAGAAAGAAAGAAAGAAAGAAAGAAAGAAAGAAAGAAAGAAAGAAAGAAGAAAGAAAAGAAAGAAAAAAGAAAGAAAGAAAAGAAAGAAAGAAGAAAGAAAGAAAAAATAAATATATATAGAAGGATAGCTGGTATGACTGTACTGCTGATGTCTAATGACTTATTGAAAGGAATAGTTAATGCTTAATTTTTGACCAATTTTTCATACTTATATCTGGTAATCTGAACAACTAATTTGAAGACAACAATATGCAATGTAACAACCATTGATAAATTCCTACCATCTTGTCTGGTGAAACTCTGTATCATTTCTAATGGAGTTTTTGGTTTGTTTTTATTTTTTACTCTCTTTATTGGTTTGATCAATCTTGCATTCTTACATCTGGTAATATAAGCAGCTTCATTGAAGATAACAATATGTAATATAACAACCACTGTTAATTCCTATCATCTTGTTCTGAAACCCTGTTATCATTTTTATTGCTACTGCTTTGTTTTGTTTCTGTCTATGTTGTTGGTGTTTTGCTATTGTTTTTCTATTATTATTCTCTTTAAAATAAAGAAAGAAACTGGCCAGAACAATGGGCTAAGTGTGTTTTACTTGAGGGAGGCTCATTGCTGGCAATGTTTCTTTTACTGTAATAAATATTTTTGAAATTTAAGCACAATTTTTTTCGA